ATAGAATTCTTTATTGGTCAAGTGTGATTGGACACACAAGGAATTTGTCTTGGTGCAAATGCTCTCAGTGTACATAAAAGAAAAGATACATTTGTCAAGAGTCAAGAATCATCAGGTACAACACTTAATGATAGTCATAGGGTACTATAAGCAATCAAATCATACTAGGAAACAGTCAATATGAATCGGAAGGATATAAGTGACAGTTACAGTCATACAGTCACAAGTGGGAGGGGATGGGTGATAAGGAGTGATGAGAAGATTAATAGTAATAGTAATACAGACTTTGTAAATAGTTGGACAGTGTTGAGGGAATTATTTGTTTAGCAGAGTGATGGCTTTCGGGGGAAAACTGTCCTTGTGTCTAGTTGTTCTGGTGTGCAGTGCTCTATAGCGTCGTTTTGAGGGAAGGAGCTGAAACAGTTTATGTCCGGGATGTGAGGTGTCTGTAAATATTTTCACAGCCCTCTTTTTGACTCGTGAAGTATACAGGTCCTCCATGGAAGGCAGGTGGGTAGTAATTGTTTTTTCTGCAATCCTAATTATCCTCTGAAGTCTGTGTCTGTCCTGTTGGGTTGCAGAACCAAACCAGACAGTTATAGAGGTGCAGATGACAGACTCAATAATTCCTCTGTAGAACTGGATCAGCAGCTCCTTGGGCAGTTTGAGCTTTCTGAGTTGGCGCAGAAAGAACATTCTTTGAAATGTTTGTGTTTGCACCTTCAGCTTCTATTATAGACTTATATGCTGCTTCCCGGCGCTTTACAGCTCTCTTTAAGCAGTTTAGAGTTGGCATCTTGCCCCCAACAATCTGGCTCCTCTTAAACCGACCTTGGAAGGATGGAAGGCTGAATCAACCATGAGCCTGGTGAGAATCAAACTGCCGGAAGCCAACAGTCAGGAAAATTAGCCTGCAGTACTGCATTCTAACTGCGTCGCCACGACTCAGTACATCTATAGGGGATGGGGAATCAAAAATTTTTCCCACAAATCTCACCCCTTTTAGTTTTGCACTTTCCCATTGCACACACATCCTGAAGGGGCAGGTCTTGCATGCAATGCTACAACGCTGCTTTTGTTATGTTGCATCTACATCCTGCAGATGCCCCTGTGCGCTTGAGATATGCGTGGTGATTCATTCATTCCCTAAGCACATGGGTGAGTCAGGCTTACACATTAAGTCATAATGTTTACTTGTATGTAATTCTATGCCGTCACCTCCTATGATTCCAGGCCGCTCGTTGTAAAACTGGAAACAGACAGCATCACATATTAAAACATTGCAACACGTACAATAAATTAAAAAAGACTATGTAGGCTCCCAAAGTAAATAAAATAATCTTTCCTGGCATAAGTGGCTTGTATAATACTCCCCTCCTCCACGCCACAGATCTGCTGGAAAACATGCTGTTGACTGTTTTCTGAAAAGATAAAAAGAGGGGAAGAGCCGTATGTTTGGGGGAACCAGTCATTTCCAAAGTAAAGATAATTCCTTTATGATCCATAAAATAATGCAGAGATAGTTGGTGTTTGGGTAACAAAGCTGTGATTGACATTTGGAGGGGGAGGGATACGGGCTACCAGTGGGTATGCCAATCAGTTCAAGAAGGTGGGATATGTCATGCATGGAGGTGGGGCTTGGAACATCACTCCCTTCTTTTCCTTCCTTCCTTTCTTTCTTTCTTTCTTTCTTTCTTTCTTTCTTTCTTTCTTTCTTTCTTTCTTTCTTTCTTTCTTCCTTCCTTCCTTCCTTCCTTCCTTCCTTCCTTCCTTCCTTCCTT